TTTTACCCCCGTCCGACTATCGTCAACTAGCACCACATCATCCGCAAAGAGCATACACCATGAAATATCTCCTTGTATATCCCTTGTGACCTCATCCATCACCAATGCAAAAAGATAAGGGCTCAAAGCTGACCCTGATGCAGTCCTATCTTAATCGGGAAGTCATCAGTGTCAACATCACTTGTTCAAACACTTGTCATAACATTATTGTACAGGTCCTTAATGAGGGTAATGTACTTTGCTAGGACGTTTGCAAATTTGAAAATTGTCAAAATTTGAGGTATTTATTTTGATGTTAATTATAGCAGGTTTATCATTCAAAAACACAATGTTCTTGCTGTTTGGCACACCCAGAAGTTGCATCAATGTAGCCAAGACGTGCTCTACTGGCTCAGCTTACATTTGCATCAATGTAAACACCTCGGAAATCTGATTTACGGTTTCATTTGGAGCGACAACGATATGATACCAGGGGCTAAGATTGGACGCACAACCACATTGGTCCTCCACACAGTACAGAATCAAAAGGGTTTCTAAGTTTCACCAAATCTACTCCTCCGGGTTAAGTCGCTGACAACACAAAATGGAAATAACCAAAATTATAGTGTCACTTTGCTGCTAGTCGCTCCATTACATTACAGTCCATGGGGTGTTGTAACTTCAGAGATTCTCTTCCTCGGCTACCAAGGCCAGCTACAAAAACGGTGAACCATGGATGATAGATCAGCGCCTCTTCTTGCCAGACTTTGAGCCAGCAGATTTCGATGGGCTCGCGACCAGGTAGATGAACCCCAGAACGAAGGAAACGACAGACACCAGTGCTCCGTACTTCGCAACAAGTTTCTGCACATGGACAGTTTCTTAGAATCTCACACCAGGGAATATCATGGCAGCTTATTTATATGGAGGAGAAATGAAATGAAATTACCTTAGCCTGAACAACAAATGACAGTGAATCCAGATTTCCAGAAGCAAGAGTATCAGCCCCACAAAATAGCATGGAAAAAATTAGAATCACCAAGGAGATATACCAGAATGAAAATGCACACGATCACTTACCCATTCAAACTTCTTCACTGGAGGTCTTTCAGCAAGAATGTCCAGGGGGGGGATGGGAGTTGAGTAGGCCTCCTGTACAGTGCAAAATTATCAGTTTAGCGAGAGGAGTTGACACTGGTGAATGAATGAGCAATCAAGTGAATGTATATCATTTGAGACACTAGTGAATAATATACAGAACGGGTTGAGGATCATACCTGAAGTGCAGCCTTTGTGGCAACACGGTACTTGATAACAGCGGGTGAAGCTTGGAACCTGCCCTGTGTTTTGCTCTCCAATACAAACGCGTGCGAGGCAGTGGCACCACTAAAAGTGCAAATGATAAAAGTTTATCTTTCTATAACATGATAGTTTTTCAAATAACACCATAGTGGAATGGAGTCACCAAAAGCAGAGACATGCTTTACAAAATGAAAATGTACTCACGGTTCAAGCCTTTCCAAAGTCTTCGAGACCTCTCCAGAGACAAGTTCAAATGCTTCCTTGGGCCACGAGTCATCATTAATGGCCACATCATATGCAGTTCTGCAAAAAAAAAACTTATTACATATGACTATGCAAAATACATGGATACTCACTGGCAATCATATGATACAAATAGGTAAGTAAGTTGAACAGGAAAAAGGAATCAAACTTGTTGTCCATGCAAATAGGATGTGCACTTTGAAGAGCAAACAAGATATTTACTATAGCTCAGTTTAGAACATCAAGGAAACCCATCTGGTAAGTTTTAGGACTTTGATGAACATGATACACCATTCAACAAACTAGAACCAAACTATCTGGAAAAGTGCTTAGCATATACTCCTACTACTAGTTCTAAACAGCAGGAGCAGTAAAACCATGAGATTACAAGATACATCAAAATAAGAAAGATAAGATTCTATTCTAGGTAATCAACTAAGAACATTTTATGACATCACAGACGGATGATGACTATTAAACACCACACAGATGCTTCAACTTCCCAAATGCAAAACCCAGCGTTATTATTGACAAATTTGCTCAATAACAACGGGACGCCTGGAAGCTCTTGTAAAAGCTCACCAACTGGCTGCGGCTACTCTACCTTGCTAGCTGTTTGCCTAGACAAATTAAATCAGGCGCATGGTCAAGCAATAGAACGAAGGATCGGGTCGCCATTTTGTACGGATAATAATCTATAAACTCTAGATCTAGCAGTTACTAGGCAGGATCCACGAGACGGTTCCGAATTTCACCGCCGAATTGCGAGCTGTAGGAGCTAAAACCATAATTAACCGAGCCGATCCCTTCAGCTGCCGGCCGAGGCCGCCGCAGATCCCATCGATCCGGCGGAGAGAGCAAGCCGCATCGCCGTCGCGAAGTGAGGAGGAAGCGGGGATAACAGGCGGGTAGGGGACGGGACGTGGGAGTACTCACGCGGATCCCTGGTTGTAGAGGTCGAGGGAGACGGCGAGGCGCTCGACGCCGGGCTTGGGGCGGGAGAGGGCCACCTTCTTGTGCGCGACGAGGAAGGGCGCGTCGGCGGCGAAGGTGCAGGAGAGGGCGGCGAGGAGGAGGGCGGCGCAGAGGAGGAGCGGGCGCGTCGTCGCCATGGCGGTGGGCCTGGCTAGGGTTCCGGCTCCGGGGTGGATCGGATCGGATCGGATCTCGTGCGTCTCGCCCAGCTGGATGGAAGAAGACGACGACTCTGGGTATGGACTGGAAGGGATGGGCTCTGCATACTAGTAGCCCGGCCCAGGGGTGGTGCGTGGCAGGTGAGGCTGCACATGGGACCCGCCGTACACAAAAAAACAAACAAGGTGAATGTATGGACAAAACTGAACTTAATGCTTTTAATATTATTTTTTGAGTTGCTTTTAATATTATTTTTTGAATGCCATTTTGGCTACTTTAGTAGCAAAATAATACTTACATTCACGGAAAATATGAAGGAAAACCTGGATACCAGCGCACCCTATATGCGAAAAAAATTAGTAATTAAAAAAAGGTCCAAAAAATTCCAAATCTTTTTTGGTAACAAACATGATCAAGTATTGTAGTCGTATAAAAAGATTCATCAGAGAATGACTTTCGTTGCATCCTGGATCGAAGATTCGGCAAAAAAAGCCATATACAAGTACTATACACGTTATATTGTCGTCATAAACTTGTCTTTTTTGCCCTGAAGTCAATATGAATCATTTCTTGTCCAAACTTTTTAGACGAGTAGAATACCTGATCATGTTTGATCCAAACAAGATTTGGAATTTTTTGAATTTTTTTTGAATTACTAATTTTTTTCCGCATATAGGGTGCGCGGGTACCCGAGAGCCATAAGTTCGCGTCCTTACATTCACCAATTACTCCCTCCGTTCCAAATTACTTACATTCATAGCAACAATAAAACTCGGCGATTCATCAACCTAAACATCTGATTGAGGATCACACGACTTTGCTATAGTATGAACTAAGTAACCCTAAGGCAGAAATCATAAGGTACTTCGGTGAAAAAGAAGCATGTATGCAAATGCAACAATAAACCAGGAAGATAGGGACCATACGAGCACTGACGAAGTTTTCGTTGTGGTTGCAATGTTCAAAGTTGTCTCCAATATGTGATTGTTGCTAACAACAATAAAATGGCCCAAATCATCTTGGATTACCTCTCGCCCCGCTACCGCTATCCGAATCAAAGCATCCACATTTAGGGTGACAAAGCCCTCCGTTGCTTCGATATGTTTGCTCTTTCTTTTGTTTTCTATGTGGCTCTCAAAAATTCGCCACTAACACCTAGATAGACGCTAGAGATAACCACGTATGGTATGGACTAAACTTTTTCACCATCAGCTCTTTGCCGCCTCATTTGGCAAGTGCACCGTCCATAGTGAGGATAACTTCTTGCAGATATATAGATGGTCTCATAATCGGTCTTGATAAAATTACATGTAATCAAGAATTGCATTGTCCATTGCAATTCCCTCAAACCAATTTTACCTCCAAATCTCCTAGGCTTCCACTCATTGAAAGCACGCAAAACACTTCCACGCGAAGATTTTGATCTTTGCTTGAAGTCTGCATAGCTCATCCCACTTGGACTCAAGTTTGTTAGCCCTGATTCTTCCTATTGTCTTAAAACGATTCCTACTCCATATGATACGCGCAGCGGACAGAGAACATACCCTTCTTGATGAAACGCCATGTGACAAAGCCCACCATGCTATTCTAGCTCAAAGGATTCGTGAAAATGTGATGCACATCAATAGGCCAGAATATGGACCGTAACAACTACTCATCAGACTCTGGGCACAGGATTATTCAGCTCATGAGTTGTTAGTATATGTGTTTCACTTTTCGGTGTTAATACTCTGCCAGTAGGGCTTTATGAGATCCAATAATACATATTTTTCATATTATCTCTATTTAGTACTCTCTCCATGCCGTATTAATTGACGTTCAAACTGATGTATGTAGACGCATTTCAGTGCTAGATACGGGATGGAGGAAGTAGTAGGACTATTGCATCTTTAAGTGGACGGGCAATGTTAGACTTTACTTTACGTACTAATCAATGTGGAGGATTGGGTTTGGTGTTCAGAGGAGGGAGGGCCCACCCCCTGCAATTCGCCCTTTAAGATTAGTTTTGAACGTTTCGTAAACTTGCGTATGAGCTTCGTAGGTTTTGTATTTTCAAACAAAATTTATAACAGTTTGTCTAATTCACATCTAGATGTTTTTTAAGAATGTCACATCTAAACTCCAACAAATATATAATGCAGCAGCAAGAAACAAGAAAAAACTAGGACAGAAAAAATAGACCGCAAACATAGTGAAAATCAGATTGGCATAATCTGCTCCTCCCGATCACATGGGAATGTGCCATCCATTGCGGACTCACTGGACTAGACTACTAAAAGTCGTCTCCATCTTTTTCTTGTAGCTAAGCTATCTGTAGCCTGCTAACACAATTTGTCAACGCCATGGCGCGTCAATGCCTCTTCCTCCTCCTCCTCGTCGCCGCCGTGACGCCATTCCGGGTGACCGGCGCCTCCAAGGACGTCACGGGGGGCTACCTTCTGTACGACTGCGATCCGGATCCACGGCGGTCCACCAAAGGCACCGCGTTCGGCGCCAGCCTGAGGCCGCTCCTGGCCGCCCTCCCGTCAGCCGCTGCGCCGACGAGCTTCGCCTTCCTCCATTCCGGCGGGACCAGGCGGAGCAATAACAGCACAGTATTCGCCCGAGGCCTCTGCTTCGGCGAGTCCCCGGCACGGGGAGACTGCCGCGAGTGCCTGGCCACCGCCGTCGAGAGGGCCGGCCACTGCGACGGCAGCCGGCGAGCGGCCTTCTGGAACGACGGCTGCTTCCTGGCCTACTCCGACACCAACGCCTCCGTCTCCGCGCCCGCCGACGAGCGCCGCTGGATGAGCTTCCTGACCCACGACCCCGTCGTCTACCCGAGGTTCTACGACGCGGAGACGCTGGTGGGCCTGGCGCGGTCGCTGCTGCCCCGCGCGGCGGCGAACAGCCCGGGGGTGTCAGTGCGCATGCTGGCCGCGGCGAGCGCCGCCCTCCGGGCGAACAGCACCGTGCGCGCGGTGGCGCAGTGCGCCCCGTGGAACGTGACGGCGCCGGAGTGCGCCCTGTGCCTGGCCAAGTCGGTGCGGGACGTGCCGGGCCCCGGCGGCCTGTTCGGCGTGTTCGAGGGCGTCCGGTCAGGCGTGGCCTCGGTGCACCGGTACGACTGCAACCTGCGGTTCGAGATATCCGCTCCGGTGAGGCCCATGGGAAAAGGAGCGAGGATCCGTGAGTTCATCACATCTTCCCTACATCCCACTAATATAAGAGCGTGTATGATTAATATACTCGAATGCGATTATACATTCAGTCGTGCATGCGTGTGGATGCAGGGAAGAAGATTCGAGATAACCTTGTCGTTGTCATAGTTGTCGCCGTCGTGATCGCGGTCGCCGTCGTCGCCGGAGCAGCTTTTATCCTTGTGAGGCGAAAGAAGAAGATGAAGAAGGAGGCTCAAGCTGGCGTCTCCTCCAACACCTAGCTAGGTAGGGGCAACACGCAACAGGCCGGCCGGCTCCGAGTTACCATTCCCTCCGTTCACAAATATTTCCTATCAGTGGCGGACCCAGAAATAAAATGCAGGGTGTGCACACTTCAAAAAATCAAAGTATATTTTCATTGGTTCCAATGGGCCTTAAAAATCAACTAATTATTACATGGTAAAAGAACATTTTCCAAAATTATGGGTGTGCCATGGCACACCTGGCACACCCCCTAGGTACGCCACTGTTTCCTATGTACACTCACTAATGTAAAACGTTTTAGAGACTAGTTTTTCTGAATCAATTTGCATAGACACGTTTTAGTGTGGTTGTTCATTCATTCCAGCCGCATATAGTTTATATTGTAATATCCAAAACATCTTTATATTTATGAACGGAGGGAGTACATCGCATTCTCATGGATCAACCACTATACTTTCTGACTCGTCGTCGTTGATCGTGTATAGTACAGTACAATGCAAGTTTTTACATGTAGCTTTGATGATTGTAATGGCCATGAGGTTAGGCAGCTAGGACCGGCCCATAGACCGGGGCAACGGGGCGACCGCCCTGGGCCCTTGGGACGTAGGGGCCCCGGCCCAGGTAGTATCTTCTTTAGAGCATCTCTAACAGCCGCGCTAAACTAGCGCCGCGCCGCAAAATAGATGTTTTTAGCGCGCGCGCAACGCGTCAGGGCGCTCCAGCGGGCGCGCAAAAACGGCGCGCGCGCTAAAACGGGTTGGGCGCGCGGGCAAAAACACTTACCCGCGCGGCGTATTTTGGGCGCCCACTACAGCGCGCGGCACACTCGAGCGCTCGCGCCCGCTCTTCCTCTCGCGCTTCCACCCCCGACCGGCCGCGCCGCCGCCGCCGCCCGCGCACCCCGGCGACCGTCTCAGGCTTCCCCGGCCTATCCCCGCGCGCCCGCGCTTCCGCCCATCCCCTCCTAGTACCGCCGGCGCCCGCGCGCCTCCGTCGTCCGAGGAACAGCGCCCGAGCGCTCGCTGCCGCGCCGCGCGCAAGGTGTTTGACAAAACGCCTACAAGGTATGTATTGCTCAAACTTCATGAATTTGGTGCATGTTTTGAATTGTAGTTTTTATAGTATAGTATTGAACATTGTAGATGAGTTCGTCGTATGATTTTTCCGAAGAAGAATTTGATATGGAAGAGGAGGAGGATCTTGCAATGATCGTAGTTATGCATATCAATAAAAAACCGAAGCACGGTGGTTCGGTTATGGGTCGGGAGAAAATTTGGAGAGATAGGATTGATGCCCATAACAGATTGATGAAGAACTATTTCGTGGAGAATCCCACATACCCGGAGTCGTATTTTCGTCGCCGGTTTAGGATGAGCACCGAGTTGTTCAGGCGCATTGCAGAGAAACTAGCGAGCCATGACCGGTTTTTCCAGCAAAGGAGGAATGCCGCCGGAGAGCTCGGGCATAGCACTTTTCTGAAGGTGACAGCCGCTTTGCGTATGTTGGCATACGATATCCCGGCTGATCTAGTTGATGATCATTTGGCTATGAGTGAGAGCCAAGCCATCATGTGTGTCAAGCGCTTTGCAGTGGGAATTGTGCAAGTGTTTGGCGAGGAGTATTTGAGAGCTCCCACTGCTGAAGACGCCGCAAGGCTATTGGCGATGAACAAAGCGCGCGGCTTTCCTGGCATGCTTGGCTCAATAGATTGCATGCATTGGAGTTGGAAGAATTGTCCAAAGGCATGGCATGGGCAATTCCACGGCCAAAAAAAAGGTTTCACTATAATCCTTGAAGCGGTGGCCGATCAGGAGACTTGGATTTGGCATGCATTCTTTGGAATGTCTGGATCTTTGAATGATATCAATGTTCTCAATGCTGGAATTTTGTCCATTTTGGGCCTAGCCCAGTAGCAGTTTCAGAAATTCCTAATAAATCCTAGAGGCCCACGCAGCCCATTTATGCAAGGCAAGAGGTGGAACTAAAGTTTAGTCCCACATTGCTAGTTTAGAGGGAGTTGGGCCTCTTTATAAGGGAGGCTCCTTCCCCACTTGTATGAGCATGAGAACAAGAGGGACATCCACGCGCGCTCCTCCTCCGCCGCCCGCCTCGCCACGCCACGCCTCGCCTCGCCACGCCACGACGCGACGCGACGCGACGCGGGTTGCGGGAATGAGCCGAGCTGATGTCTAAATTTTTGCCACGCACTACGGGTATACGAAAGGTCACTCGGGAGATGGAAAGTTTTTGCTATAGTGGAGATTAAATGCGAACGCTGCACCCTTCAGCTGCTGTCTGTTCGTTTCATCTCCCTCGGTCCCTTCAGCTCCCGGCGCTGCCCTCTCGCCTCCTTCTCTTGCGCCTATAAAAGGGAGGTCGCTCCTCTCAGCAAGACGCACCAGAACTACTTCTTCCTCTCGCCACCGGTTCCTGAGCACTGCGCTGCTGCTACGATCTTCTCCATCCCGGCTTGCGGCGTGCACCGCAGGTCGGAACAGTAGGCCTCCGAAACCGCCCTCTTTGAGTCCTGTACGGGAGAAGGGTGATAAGGTTTTTGGGGAGCGCTCTGCGCGACTACTGGCTGCTTCATCACGGACGATCCGGTCGCCGACGACTACTTCCCCGACGACGACTTCTTCCCCGACGTCCACGACCTCCTCGGCGACATGGCAGGCGAGGACACCGACCCCAAGTCTAGCGCTTCTGCTGCTGCCGTGCCGTACGTGTTCTTCTCCTTTCTGTTAGAAGTCCTGTTACAGTTCTTGGCTCTAGTTTCTGTCCTACGTATGTTAGGCTCTATGTCGTATAAGCAACTTCATCTAGTGACTGTTCTAGATGTGTTTACCTCAAGTTCATATATGCGGACGATGTTTACCTTCTCTCTGTCAGATTGCATGACTTGCTGTATATTTGCTATTTTAGTCATGTTTTATCTACTATTTCTGTTAATAAAATCATTCGGTAAATCGCTCATATTTCCAACAATCCAAAAACCTTATTATAGGCAATTTACCTCAAATGGTTTTGCTGCTTCCATGAGACCTGCTATGTTTGAGGGTATCCACTATAAGAGGTGGCGCGTGAGAGCAGTCTTATGGTTTCAAACCATGAGTTGCTATGACGCCACTCTTGGCAAACCTGAAGGAGAGCAAGATGCCCAACAGGCACAAGTTTTTCAGAAAATGGAAACCTTGTTTAAGGCTGCTCTTTTGAGTGTTCTTGGTGAGAACGTAGTTGATGCTTATGCGTCAATTGACAATGGAAAAGATATGTGGGACGCACTCGAGGCCAAGTTTGGGGTCTCGGATGCCGGCACTGAGCTGTACATCATGGAGCAATTCTATGATTACAGGATGACTGAAGAGCGCTCCGTGGTTGAGCAGGCTCACGAGATACAGTCATTTGCTAGAGAACTTGAGCACTTCAATTGTATCCTACCGGACAAGTTTGTTGCCGGGGGTATCATCACTAAGCTTCCTCCTTCGTGGAGGAACTTTGCTACCTTACTGAAGCATAAGAGACAGGAGTTTTCCGTTCAGGATCTCATTGGCACTCTTGATGTGGAAGAAAAGGCGAGAGCAAAGGACACACGTGCTCGAGGTATTGAGGGAGGATCTAGTGCCAATGTGGTGCAGAAGAAAAACTTCCAGTCCCACAAGTTCAAGAACAAGGGCAAGTTTGATGGTAAAGGAAAGTTTGATGGGAAGAACAAGGTTGTGCAGCACACGAACTTCAAGAAGAAGAATGACAAGAAGAAAGGTGCTTGTCATGTGTGTGGAGATCCTGATCATTGGGCTCCTAGTTGCCCCAATCGCTATGACAAGCGTCATCCTGGGAAAGGCGGCAAGACCGCTAATGTTGTCATCGGAGACATTGACATGAAGGATGTTGGGTATGGTATATTTCCTACTATTCTTTCAGTATGTCATTCTCCTGATTGGTTGATTGACACGGGTGCTAATGTGCATGTATGCGGTGATATTTCCATGTTTTCGTCTTATCAGACCGCAGGGACTTCAACCGTGCTGATGGGCAACGGTTCAAGTGCTTCTGTTCGTGGTGTTGGCACGGTCGATCTGAAGTTTACTTCGGGGAAGATCGTGCGGCTGAAGAACGTGCATTATGTCCCCTCCGTCAATAAAAATCTTGTTAGCGGATCTCTTCTGTGTAGAGATGGCTATAAGCTTGTCTTTGAGTCGAATAAATTTGTAATATCCAAGTATGGAACCTTTGTTGGTAAAGGCTATGAGTCAGGAGGTCTGTTTCGTTTATCCTTATCAGACGTTTGCAATAAAGTTGTTAATCATATTTGCAACAATAGTGAATCAAATGTGTGGCATTCACGACTTTGTCATGTTAACTTTGGTTGCATGTCGCGACTAGCGAAGTTGAACTTAATCCCTAGTTTCACCACCGTTAAGGGATCTAAGTGTCAAGTGTGTGTGCAAGCTAAGCAACCTCGTAAATCTCATGTGACTGCGGAGTTGAGGAATCTTGCACCACTAGAACTTATACATTCAGATCTATGTGAAATGAATGGTGTTTTGACAAAAGGTGGAAAGAAATATTTCATGACGTTAATTGACGACTCCACTAGATACTGTTGTGTGTATCTTCTGAAATCTAAGGATGAGGCTTTGAACTTTTTCAAGATCTATAAAGCTGAAGTGGAAAACCAACTTGATCGGAAAATCAAGAGGCTTAGGTCCGACCGTGGTGGAGAGTATTTTTCCAATGAATTTGATGCTTTTTGTGCGGAACATGGTATAATCCATGAGAGGACGCCTCCCTACTCACCTCAGTCAAATGGGGTGGCCGAAAGAAAGAACCGTACTCTAACTGATTTGGTTAACGCCATGTTAGACACATCAGGTCTCTCCAAGGCATGGTGGGGGGAGGAGATATTGACAGCATGTCATGTCCTAAATCGAGTTCCCACAAAGAACAAAGAGATAACTCCATTCGGGGAATGAGAGAAGAAAAGGTTAAAACTCTCTTATCTGCGAACATGGGGTTG